AGCTTCCTCTATTGGAGCTTGAAGCCACTGCTCCCAGTCCTGTCTCCTGCAGCCACAAAGAATAGTGTATTTCTGTCTTCTCTATAATTGCCTTCCTTTCAGGTATTTGAGGACCGTGATCAAATCCCACCTCAGTCTTCTCTATAAAACAAAGGATTTATTTGCCTCTCTGCTTTCCCTGCTTAGAGGCACTCTGTCATGGTTTTACTGCCATAGTTGAGATTGCAAAAGACTTTCTGAAATCTGCTGTTTAGTGTATCCCTGATATGAACTGGCTCTTGCAATTTTAGCAAGAGGCTTATGACACACGGTGTGGCATGAGAATCTCTGCTTTTGTTTTCAAGTGAGCCCTCCTGGACATGGAGAGAAACGAGACTCAAGGACCCTGACAGCTCCAAATCAAGCCTTGAATGGCTGGTTTGTTTTACAGCCTCATGTCTTTTGCACAGCTCTCATGGCTTTCGTGACCCAACTCACAGTTTCTGAGCACTTGAATTTGGTGGTGCTGATTTCCTTTGGTCATCCTCTAGGTTCCATTTTTAGTTTAGAAAAGGGGTGACACAGGATGAGTTGAGGGACCATCTTTTAACCCCTGGCACCATAGGGCAATAGCTCATACCAGGGGCTCCTAGGTGCAATATACAAAGCAACAGTGAGTTAATCATATTGCATGTGATTAGTACACATTACAGAAGGCTATAAGGAGCCTGCCATGCTCTCCATCAATTAACCATTTATTAAAACATCTATTATTTATGGATTAACCCTTTATGAATTATTTAGCAGTGGAATCTTAATACAAAGCATGGGCCTAGATTTTCCACATAAACAATGGCTGTGTTTGCCATGGGGATGTTATATCTGACTACAAATGGGTGAGGAGATGCCCACAATGATAAGTCTGTTGGTGTGAAGAGAGTTTAAAGGCCACTAGATTTCTGGTAATGTTTAAAAGAATCTTTCTGAGTTTCAGGAAAAAGCTGTCCTGGAACTGTAGGTTCTAGAGCTTGGCCTATCTATGATTGGTGCATTGGATGCCTTGGTACCACCAGATGAGATGAGGGCAGGGTGATGGCATGGCTCTAGCACTGAACTGGAAGGTAAGAGATCTGGCTTTGATTCCCAAATCAGCCACAGGCTTTTGGGGGGAAGGAGACCTTGGGCAAGTCACTCAAACTCTTCACACCTCACTTTTTCCTTCCTGAACAATGAAGAGGATGCCTTTCTTTGCCTGTCAGCAGCAGTCCTCACTGTGTGTCTGATGGAGACCCCAATCTTAGTTTGGGGCCTCTAGGTCTAGAGCTATTATTAATTGTACTTGGTATTGCTCTTGAGGGTCTGTTAAACTTGAAAGGGCATTTGGACAATGTACTGCTTTGTTCGTGAATGAAGTGTGATTAATGCAGAGAGTAGCCAGGGAATCTTCCTTCAAGGGAACTCGAAGCATTTTGCAGAGAGGAGTGAGCCTCCTCAACCCCCAAAGAGATGATGGGCCCTGTTTTAGGTCACCCAGAGGACTCAACAGTAGAGAGGTTTAATTGCAGTTTGGGGCTCACACTGCTGCCAGAGCTCAATGCCACTTTTTCAACAGGAGGTTTTCTGCTGCCAGAGTCACACTAGCTCCCCTCAACAGCAATGCTGCATCTACATTAAAGTTTTGCTGGCCTGGCTATGGGGCGCGATCTTTCTATACTGCTGGCTGCTGCAGCTATGCTAAGGGAAATCTGCAACGTAGACGAGCTCCAGGGAGTAGAGCTCAGCAGACATTATTGTTGGACAGCAGGTTACAAATGATGTAGATCCTCTTGACCTCCTTACTCTGACCACTAGGTACATGCATGTGTTGCTAATATAAAATTACTTACAGCAATTGCTACCTTTTTCAGCTTGTGTTACTATAATAAACCTTTGATTACAGAGCATCTTTCATAATGATGAATCATGGGCTGCTCTGGAGGTCTGATACATTGCAGACTTAAACATTAGCCAAGCAAAATGATGAAGTGACAGAATTATGTAATGTGGTTATAAAGCCAGCACATTTCAATGCAGCAGAGAAAATGACTTGAGCAGCAGGATCCAAAGAGAAGAGGGTTACAAAGAAACAGAGATGGGAGGCAGAGAACTAGAGGATTGTTCCTGCTAGAAAAAGTTGCAGAGAAGGTGTCTCTCATGCTTAGAGCTGACAGAGGAAGAAAAACTGGGTCTGCCAAGTAAATGCAAGAAGCAGAGAAGGGAACCAGGCACATAGGCTAGAGCAGCAGTGTGCTAACTGGGGCTGTAAGGCTAGAGGAAGCAGCCTGCAGTTAAGCTATGGGTGACTTTTGCCCCACTACCTTTCCCCTCAAAAGACCGATAAGGTAGCATGGTGGTCTGTGAGAAATGTTGATCAATATCATTGTTGACCCTAAAAGTTTAGGAATCATTGGGTTAGAGCAGAACTGTGTGTGATTATTCTCTCCAGGTGCCATCCCTGCTACCATTCCATACAGTATTATTCACCCCCTGACTAGCAGCTTTGAAGGGTCTCTGACATAAGTTTGAAGCTGCAGTTGGCACAAGCCAAAGCAATCAAGGTACATTGTAGCGTTGTCAGCAGTGTGTTCCCCCCAAACCCTATCCCATTTTTTGTAAAGCCTAGAGGCCCCAATCTTGTGGTGTGCCTATGTGTGATGGACTCGCATGGGATTAGGGACTGCTTGCCATGAAGGTGTCTGAGGGACTTGTAGGAGTTAGATGGTGTTAATGACAATCTCATGTAATGGACCTAAAGGAAGATAAGGCATTCTTTTCAGCCTCTTCAGCACCATGTGCTTTGATCTTGTTCAGACTGAGGCCCCTTCTGTGCTGCTCTGCCATTGCAAAGGGTCAGTTGTTGACAACCATCAATCCTCTGGATCATGGTGTACATAGAAGAGGTCTGTGTGACCATCACACCAAGACCGTCAGTCTATTTATATAGGGACAATGTGTACCTCCTCGTAGAGGGGAGGGGCTGGGCAGTGGAGGCATGGGATTGTTCAGGCCAAGGCAAGCCTGAAACCATTTTTATTTACTTGGCTTATCTCCTCACATTTTGCTTGTCTTCTCACGCCTCACCAGTGGGTCTGGTGGCACCCCAGGGTGCCCTAGCACCCTGGTTGAGAATCACTGCCTTAGACTAAGTGAGTGTCAGGCCCTATGCATCTATTACTGTAACTACAAAATTGCCCATCAAGAATGACGGGTTCAGCCCCACTCCCCTCCCTGCCCACCCCCCCCACTTGGCTCCCAGCTCTGCTCTCCCCCTGCCCCCCATCATCATTTGGGGTCCAGCTGCAAACCCCCCAGTCGTCACTTGGGGTCTGGATCTGCCTCCCCTCCCTCCCTGCTAGCTGTTCTAGGGGGTGTCTGACGGCAGGGGGCACTGCCAGCATGATCCCACCCTTTGCCCACAGGCAGGGGTAGTAGCCCTGCTGCTTGAGGGAGGAGGCAGAGGCGGGCAGGGGGGAGGGAGCTGCCACGACATCAAGCAAGGAGGCATGGGGCAGCCCCGCTGCTCAGGCAGCCAAGACATGCTCCCCACCACCAAACTTCCACAGCAGTGGTGCAAACGAGCCTGTGCAGCCAATCACCACCCACCCTCTCGATGGCGCACGCACAATTGACCAAAAGTGTTACAGACAGACAAAAGGTTTTATTATATTAGAGTTCTTCTTAGATGCATTACTTTGAAATAGACCAAACTCTATGCAAAGGTGCTTTCAAACTAAGATATACAAGAGAAATGGGAAACATTAAAGCACGAGAAATTAACCAACAAACCAACCCCTGGTATCATATTTTTCCTTTCCCCCCAGTTCCTATTGTCCCTAGGAGATGGCTTTCTCAGAAAGATAAAGGTGATTTTAATAGGGTCTAATGTTGCCATGGAGACGGCTGCTCCCATGGCTATTAACTGCAATCATGCCAGCCATTATCTTCATAAAAAGAGTGTGAAGAAATTAATTTATCAGACACACCCAGGGATTGCAGAGGCTTTTGGGGGGAAGAGGAAAGGAAGTCCATGTAATATTGTCTTACTTTAATGGATTGGTGGGTGCTTGAGGCAGCAAACACCTGGCAACACAGGGTGAAAAGTCCCAAATAGGTATTTAAAGGGAGTCCTCCTCTATGCTGCTTTATTTGAACCTACCTCTGAAATCAATATGAAAATGAAGCTCTTGAGCAGGTAGAAAACTGTTAGTAGGAAGTAATGCATCATGGAAATGATTCACACTTTTTTGATAGAGAAAGGAGGGGTGATATTTGCCTGGCAGCTGGGACAGGGCAACTAGAGTCTGGATACCTGGGTTCTGTTTCCAGTTTAGGGAGGGAACAACTGTCAAGACCTTCCTAAGTGCCTATTATATTTTGGTGTATCCACAGAATTTTTAACTTGTATGAGTACGTTAGTTAAGGGTGTGATTTTTTTTTAAACCACAAAATTAATGTTTTATCAAATGTCACACACAAGCAATCATGAAAAGCAGCTAAGAAGTGTTGGCAAAATGCAAAGCCTGTTCATAAGTGGGTTGTATTTTAATTTTTCTGGTTTGCATATACTTTCTGTGGTATCAGTGCATGTTCTTTGAGAGCTACTGATGCATTTTATCAACTCAAAATAACTTAAAATGGATTGAAAAATTCCCAGTGTAAAAAAGCATGGGGGGAGGGGGGGAGTTTGAGCATAATTACCCAAACTTAAATTGGACTAGGGTGCTGGGGTTTCATTCCAGCAGCAGAAAGACGATGCTTCTGCTAGCACCATGTTGGGGGATGTAAGTTATATCCCTTTTCCCTGCTTGTTATTAGTCATCTGTTCAGATTGTATGCTCTTTGTGGCAGAGGCTGTCTGCTTTTTATATGGTACCTAGCACCACCAGGACCCATTTGTGGCTGGTCCACAGGCACTGCTGTAACAAGCACAAGTAATACTAATTCAGAGTAGAGTGTCACCCCTACCGAGTCACTTACAGCACAGTGTCCCTTATCGCTGCTCTAGTGTCTCAGTCAGCACCAGCTTGAGGAGGAAAGCACCCCTGGCTTCATCAATGTAGTCTTTGAAGGCTTCCTGACCACGCGCTGATGTATCCAGATCCTGGTAGTTTGCACAAGCTGTTGTGGATGCAGGTAAAAAGAAATGAAAGCCCTGGCTGGCAATGAGAGAGTGTTTGGGGAGGTGAGGCTGCAAGATTTGAGATCAATTGCATCATCCCACTAAGTTTTTAGATGCCATGCTCCTGTTGGCATTTGTTCCATGGGCAAGTGACAGAGTAGCTGTGGGCTTTTTCACCTTGCTGCTGCCACCACAAAGTCTTCTCAAAGTAAACAGACCTGCTTGGAGGGTTGAGAGCTTGCCAGCAAAATTCAGCAGTGAGAAAAGTTGTTTGCACAGAGCTCAGCAACAGCCTCCCTCCAGTTGGTTCGGCCACGCTTCGCCACTCACCAATACTGCAGGGTCGAGCTTGACAATACTCACCAATACTGCAACACCCGAGCTTGACAACTCCCGTAATGAAGCTTCACAGATGACAGGAGCTGGAGCACGTGCCCCCGGCTGCAGCTGCTGATGGATAACCAGAGAAACACTTTTCTCACTGAAACAATTGGTTTCTCTCTAGTTCTCAAAACGTAAATGCTTGCAGGGGGCTTTATATGCACAACGGCAGCACACTGAACATGCAAGAAGTAGTATCCATGCAGCACAATGATGATCTGGCTTGCTCCATCCAGTAATTCCCTCTTACAAATGCCAAGAGCGTGGTTCCTCTCGCCTTTGCCAGCACTGTGCCATCATCTTTGCTTTATTGGTATAATTCATGTTATAATGAGATTTTTATAATTATTTTATAATTCATTATTTGGGCCCTAACTACCACCTGCACATTGGAATAGAGCCCTTGGCTACCTGCTTTTGTTGCCTTATCTGCAGTCTGGCACTAACAGCAGGTCGATGCAAGGAAACCACAAAATATAACCTCACCCCCACAATTTGCAGGTGGCTATCATTATCTTCACTGGAGGAAAATATGGTAAGTGGATCCTTGGCATGATTAATCAATGACCAGCCAAGGATAAAAGTTATTAGTATGTACTAGGTCAGGAATTGTAACTAAGCCATACCAAAAGACTGGAAGCAGCTCCATGTTTGTCTCAGTCAATGGGATACAATTCCTTATGAACACCAGTTAAACATGGATCCTCACTGGCAGAAATCATCAAAAGCCAGAAGACTGGCTCAGGGTTAAAACTTAATGAAAGATTGGTTCACTGAAAAATGCTGTTTTAGGCAGTCCATCTTCAGGGCTGAATTTTGGTGAATAGCTGTGCCCCAAAAATGGTAGTGGGTGGGGATTTGGAAAAGTCTAAATGTTTTGACTCTTCATTTCAAAGCAGTTTCTATTTTTTCCCTCCTCTGTTCTTAGGACAGACTGGTGGGAGAGAGGCAAGGAGTTCATATTTAAATAGAAACATGCGCTGATCTGCCCACTTCTTCAGGAAATTAATAGGATAAGCCAACCCCTCCAAGCCATCTCCTAAAAATGTATGGACTGGGGGGAGGGAGGGTTTGACTTAATAACATCACCAGGAAATACTAATTATAGCAGGATCAGGGTCTTATGCCAAAGAATTATAGTCCTCAGCATTCAATTTTCTACTTGGCTTAATAATTTCTCTCTCTCAGCAGATTATGAACCTTTTGAGAAATTATAGTGAAGAACTGAAGTAAAAGCAAAACCAAGATGCAAACAAGATAGTGGGATTTTTTTCCTGTTTCCCTTACAAGCTGTTAAAATGGGCAAGGGGATGGTGGTGAACAAACTAGTTCCTCATACAGAGCTAAGGCCTGCATCCTCAAGGCATTCTGGCACCTAAAGCCCAGTGACTGGGGATTGAGTGCCTAAAAACCTGTGCAAATCTAGGCCATAGTGACCAGCATTTTAAATTTGGATCCCCCGCTGTTTCTCAAACCATTATAATCGGAGAGGTGAGGGAAGATGTTTCTGTTGGTCTCATCTGATTTGGGAGAGTCTATGAAAAGAAGTATATAAATAATTGTGTGATTTACTGTAGAACAGACATGAACTAAAATTTCTGAGCGCCCAAGTTATTGACACTGTTGACTATTTTTTTTATGTGATCAGATACCCAAGCCCAGATCCTTCTAGATACGTAGATGTTTAATACCCATTGGTGCTTAAACACCTCTGAATATCAGAGACCTGTGAGCCTGTAATATGAGGATAATCAAATTTAACCACCTCACAGGCAGCTGTGGGGAAGTTTGTAAGTTGTGAAGAGGAAAACCACTGATTCCTGAAGTGCCAGCAAAAATGTTTGCAATATTGGTTCTTTTCTTTTCATTATGAATTAAATCTTGGTTTTCCCAAAGGTTCATAATACCTCAGGCTTTCTTCTACAAACAATACTTTGTATTTGAGCATCAGAACAAAGAAGGATATGGTCACAACACATGGGAAAGTGACAAAACAAGACCGTGTAGTAAACGTGGGTGCCTAAACAGTTATCTTGACGGTTGGATTTGGATGTTTTATTAAAACACCCACTTTGTGCTGCACAGAGGAACCTTTTGCTTGTAAACCGAGGAAATTGTTTCATTTTTTTTCTCTCCTTACAAACAACTGTGACCTCTCAGCTGACAGCAAAGTGGCTAGACACAGGATTCCTTCTTTTCCCACATGCTTTGCCCCAACTCATTCTACGTCCTTTCCTAAAACTTGTCTCGCCTGCATCCTGTTCTACAGTGTCACTTTGCAGTCAAGTAAGGATCTCCCTTTTTGTTCCCCAGCTCCTCTATCCATGATATCATTAAACTCTAATGGCAAGTCTGTTAGCCTTCTTTCTACTCCACCTGTGTTGGAAGTGTCTTTCAGCATAAGCAATCGCTGTCTATGCCAGTACAATATGCTGTGAACTCCTGAAGCTCTTACAGCAAGCATGCCTTTGATTGATTTCATCCTCTATATTATAGGTTTAAGTATCCAAGATTTAGTTGTTCGTCTGCCACCAGGAATAAAGTGTGAACCCCAAACAGGCAAACAGAAAAACCCCAACTGTCTTAATTTTTTTCCAAGACTGTGATTTGGGGGTGACATTAATTCTGAATGTTTGGAGCTGGCAGTGCCGCTAAGCTGTATGTAGGACAAGTTGGCCACTTCTTTCCCAAAAGAGCATTTTAGTAATGTCTTGTTAACCCTACCAAACAGATTCTCTCAGTGACATTAGCAAACGAAATCCACCCTGTGTATAATTCCATTGACTTTACACCAGGGGCCACTTGGCCCCAGATGTTATAAACCCAAACCATTTCAATGGGCCATAGAGTTTGTGTTTTAAATTCTTCTTCAGAGGCCCCAGTGTGAGAGAGATTCTCTCTTCTCATTTGATTTAGCTCTCTACGTGCAGAACTATTGTCGTGGAAGTGGTATAAACACGACCCCCCGCTGCCTTTATTCCCAACAGAATTTGGAATTATTCATAAGAAATTGAGGTTTCCAGTCTTTATGCCTTAAAGTTCTTTTTTTATCTTAGTAAATTCCTGTTCCTAACTTTGCACTGATGGGCTTAGCCCCAGGAGAGTGGGATAGGACTTACAAGTTCTCAAATGTATGGTCCTGTTTAAACCCAAATTCTGTGAGAATTGGCCTGCCATCCTGCATATCAAAGCACACTGCTGGCTCGCCTCAATTTGAACAATTGGTATGTGCAGGCTTGGAAAGGCATCAGCAGTATTTTCCACAGCTATGGCTCATCCTGCTTGTTATGCTTTAGTAAGTTTCCATGGAACAGCTTGATGAACTCTATTCCAGAATCCTCCTTTTGACTGTGTCATTTTACTAAAATGGATTTGTATAGAATGGTTTGGATAAGAATGATCCTGCCTCAGGCAGGAGTTGGACTAGATGTGACCTCTGGAGGTCCCTTCCAGCCCTACTTCTCAATGATTCTGTGACTCCCCTCAAAACCTAGATAGTTTTGACCGCCATATACTGCACTTGATGTTTTTGGGGGCAAAATTTATCTTTCATTTCTGTAAGACTATTCTTCAAAGTCTCCAAACTCTCTCTCTCATCTAAGGCACTCACTTTTACCTTTGAGATATCCTTTCGCAAAATTCTGCATGCTTTTCAGTTATTATTGTGAACCACAGACTCTCTGAATACTTCACTGGTCGAAAGTTTGCACATGAGGCCTTGGAGTGTCACAAGATGCTGGGGGCTGTATCCTCAAAGGTCATGGGCTGTTTCTAAAGTCAGTTTTCCTTCCTTTGAAGCTTAGTTTTGTTCTTTATGCTGTAAATTAGCATTTTAAGAGAGACAAGGAACTTACCCTCACTCATATATGGTTTGCTCTCATTTAATGGATCTCTATAAACAGGTGGCTGATTTAAGAACATCCACTGTGCAACAAAGCTGGCCTAAATGGCCCTCTATCTCCCTGCCACCCCCACTCCTGCATCAGCATTTCTACTACAGACCTATTATTTATATTCCAGCGTGCCTAGAGATCCTAGCCAAAATCAGTGTCCCAGTCTATCCTGTCCTGAACAGCTTACAATCTAAACAGACAAAGGCCAGAGGAAAGGAAGTAATATTGTTTAAATGGAGATTGGCGAGACATATTAAATGACTTGTCCAAGACTGCATGGAAAGTCTGTGGCAGAGCCAAGAAATGAATTTAGATCCTACTCCCTCAACCACAAGTTTGTCCAGCTGCCCCAGTGCCAACCCCCTTGCTCCAGGCCTTTAGGACTTGGCTATGATAGCTCAGATTCTGGACTGAGTCTTTGCTAGTTGTACTCCCTTTTGTGTGTTCCAATAAACTAAAAAATGGTTTTGATTTTAATTAAAAAAAAAACCAGGCCAGAAAAATATTTGGCAAATCATCAATCCCTGATGTGTTCTTCTCTTTGGGCATTTAAAAAAAACTAATAAAATACAACGGAGATATTTAACTTTGAAATGTAGCAGCTGTGTGAGGCACAGGAACTATTTTTGAACACAATGTCATGAGGAGAGATTTTTATAGTACATTCCCTAGTCAGAACAATTGCAATCTGTCTGCTAAATAATAATGCTACTTAGCATGTACAGCATTTTCCCATCTTGCAAACATTAATTAATTAAATCTCCCCACCCCCGCCAGTATAAAAACAGGGACAATAAAAAAGAAAGATCAAGACCCAAGTCTTCAAAAGAGTCCACTAACATCAGGTACCTCTGCTGGTGGTACCTAACTCAATACACCAGAGGCTTGTTTTAATGAACATAGGAACTCCCAGACAGGCTTATACCTGAGGTCCATCTTGTATCCTGTCTGCAGCAGCAACAGCCAGATGCTTCTGAGGAAGACATATATGAATGTTGCTACTGACAGACATAGGATACTGTACACCTTACATTTGGTCTCATCTTAATTGTCAACAGTGAAGCTACCTTAAACCTAGAATTTGGGGTATACAATATCCCTTTCCAAAAATGTATAGCAGTAACACCTCTGGGTATTTCTATTGTGTGCGTCCAATCCCATTTTTGGAACACAATAAATTCTTGGCCTCACTGACTTCCTGTGGCAATAAATTCCATACCCTGGTTCCCTGTTGTGTAAGGAAGTGTTTACTTTTGCTGGCTTGCCACTTTTGAGTTAAATCAGTGCGAGCAACAAGCATTTCAGCAACTTTGAAAAGCAGACTAGTTTGAGGGGAACAACCCCAAAATGAGGCATATTTAAGTCAGACCCCAATCCTGCTATATTGCCTCATTACAGTCATAGATAGATAGAGGGATCATGTAGTCTGATCTTCATAACACAGATTAATGCGTTTCATTTAGTTTCTACGTTAAGTCTACACCTTACTCTTAAGCTATGACATATTTAAAAAAGTCAGCCACTCTTGCTTTATGCTTCAGCAAGATAAAGAATATGCTGCATTTCTAGGAAAGCTGTTCAACTGCTTAATTACCCTCACCATTTAAAAACCTTCACCCAATCTGAATTTCTCTAACCAGCAAATTTCATTATGGCTTTTTCTGATAAAGATGACCCCTATCTGATTGTGATCAAATCCTTTCCTAATCTTCCCTTGGCTATGTTCCACAGAGTACATCAGTACATCCAAGAATCTGCCATCATGAGAGATTTTCCATATCTTGGATTATTCTTGTAACTCTTTTCAGAACCTTTTCCAGTTTTTCAATGGTCTTCTTAAAGCATGGGCACCAGGTCTGGACATAGTATTCCAGTAATGGTCTTATGCCATATAAATAATTATTTTATATTTGCTTGCTTCTGCATCAAAGGATCATGTTCACCTTCTGTAGCTATAGCATTGCACTAGGAATTAAAATTCAACTGGCTATGTACCCTGAACCCTAACCTTTTTCCTGAGTCACTGTTTTCCAGGATATATTCTCCTGGAGTATAATTGTAACCTTTGTTCATTGTTCTTAAATGTATGACCTTGGCTGTGTTAAAATACTTAAGACTCAAATGGTCTAAGTTGATTTGTGTAACTGGCCAATCATTACTTATTATGCTTGTATCATCTCCAAATTTTCTATTTTCTTCTGAATGGGTGATAAAAGATACCAAATGTCATTTGGGTAAAGAAGAGATCCCTGCAGGACCCCACTTGAAATACCCTTAACAGACAATGACTTCCCATTTACAATTATATTTTACAATCTTCCAGTTAAGTAGTTTTCGATCCATTTAAGTATAGTCTGATTTTTGTATACTGCCAATTTTTTTAAAAGTCAGAATGTCATGCGGGACTAAGTCAAATGCCTTATGGAAGTCTAAGTAGATTATGTCAGCACAGTTACCTTTATCAACCAAACTTGTGATCTCATAATAGGTTTGACAAACCCTATTTTCCATATAACCAATGTTCACTGGCATTAATTATGCTGCCATCTTTTAATTCTGTATGGATTGCATAGTCTCAGCTTTTCTATGATTTTACCTGGAATCAGTGTCAGAATAAATGGCCTGTAATTTCCTGTGTCCAACCTATAACCCTTTTTAGAATATTTGTATTGTGTTAGTTTAGAATAAATAATGTTGTGGGGAGGGATAGCGCACACATTTGATAACAGAATTGAGGGCTAAGTAAATCCTAGAAAATACATTACTTCCTTGTAGAGGCAGGATCACAGTACAGGAGTTTATGAGGCCCTGCATTCCAGTATCATATGTGCTATATATGTATATATATGTGTGTGTATGTGTGTATATATATGCATGTATATATATGCATGCATGTATATGTGTGTGTGTGTGTATATATATATGTGTGTGTGTGTATATATATATATATATATATATGGATTGTTGTGCTTGAGATGTATGGATTGTTGGGGGGGGAGCTGTTATGTAGTGCTAGGGTGTTTAGATCTATAAGAGAATGTATTTTTGGTTATATAAAAACTGAATATTTATGTACCAAGAAACCATGTGAAAAACAGACTGAAAGAGTCACTATGACCAGAATAAAGACAGGAAGTTATGGATTACACACCTAGGGAACAAGCACAGCCCAGAAAATCAAATATTTAGTCCACCCACCAAAAACAAATCCTCAGTGAAACCACCCTGTCCCATTCACACACTACACCTTCCCTTTGCTTTCGATTAGAATGTGCCACTGGAGGGCAGAAAGTAACTGAGACTCAGGACCTTTTTTTTTTTTTTTTTTGGTGTATCTTCAGCTCTCCCAACAAGTAGCAGTTTGGTCAGTGGAATTAGTGCCTCAGTTTACACACCTGTAAAATGGAGATTGCCAACCTAAGCATTTTGAAGATGTAAAGCTACATAAGGGCTTACTGTGATGTATTAACGCTGTTTTGCTCCTGTGAAAGGCGACTGTAATTTATATGCATTCAAACTACATAGTGGTCATGAAAGGCAAAGGAGGGGGAAAAATCAATAGGCAATAAACATGTTGGGCTGACTCTCCCTTCACATAAATTTCATATCAACAGCAGCCCTCTGGCACCAGCAGCTAGCATTCTTAAAGACATCTGAGGAAATGCAAATCTTCCACCTCAAGAGTCAGCAGTTGATTTATGCTCATTTAATAAGGGTAGGATTTTCAGATTTTTCTATTTTTTTTTTTAAATCCGGAGCAAGCACTGATGTTCTCTTTGTAAAAAGAGGGCGGGGGGGAAACAATATTATGCGACAGCAGAATCAATAGTCTCCCTCACTGCAGTGAAAATTAATTTTTGAGGGGGAAAAAAAAAGAGAATAAGGCATTCTGGGCATGTTTTTCTGTAAAGCTCAATTTATAACGTGCATGTTAATTGAAGCTTAATATCAGTGCTTCTCCAAGAATGAACTTGGTGAGGAAAGATTTGAATAACTCAATGCCAGCATGTCTGCAACCTCTTAAGCTTTTTCATGCTAGCTGAAATGATCAGGTTATTGGCTTCTGTCAGGCTTGGCTTTAAGGAAGACAACTTTTAAACTAATTGGCATAGAATAAATAATGTAATTTCATGTTTATATAGGCATTCTTTATATCTAGCGCCTGTCATTCAAGGAGGATTCCAGCAGGCGTTCAGATGGGAACACTACATCCACTGCAGAAACGTGGCCCCCTGTGGGATTGAAAGGAAAGCAGTTCCCGTTCTAATTATTCGGCTTTTCAGTGGTGCTGGGAACTTCTGAAAATGGATAGACAAATTGAACAGACACTTCCCAGGGAGGGTCTGGGAAAAATGTTTCCACTGGAAATGCTGGTGAGGGGTTTTTTTTAATGGAAATTACAGTACCATCTGGGTTCATTTTAGCTACAATATAAACTTGAGTTCATCTTAACCGTTCTTTGTATGTTTCTACAAGACAAATTGAAGGGGCCTGGCACAAGGGAGTTATAAGTCTGGCATATAACCACATTTCAAGCCCCTTGAGAGAGAGAGAGAGAGAGAGAGAGGGAGGGATTAAGAGAAAGGAAACAAAAAGAAGAAACCTCAGAAAACCAGAATCAGCAGCTGGTAAGAGACGTCCAGTTACATATGTCCCCATCCCAAATAATTCTCCTTTACAATGTTTTGTCTGATTTCTCCTTTTATACTGGGTTTTTTCCTTCTCTCAAGGACCCCCTTTCTCGTCTGCCTGGTTAGATCACTGCAGTGTTTGTTCTTTCATTTTCTTTCTGTTCTCTCCTTTTTCCAGCTGGCTTACCCTAAACACAGCAATGGGATGTGAGTAGTAGGAAAAGTTGCACATACTCATTCCAGGGACTGTATCTGATCAGGCCACTATCCAGAATTAGCCCATGAGCTGCAGCAAAGTTATGGTCTTAGCTGTGTCCTCCCCTGCTACAGTCTGCCGCCCCCCCCATTTCCCAGTCCTTATGCCATGACTAGAAAGGGGTTCTGTTTATCCCCTCCCCACCTGTTAACCATCCTTCTGAAGCATCCAAGAACTCCAGAACCAGATTACATTCCAGAAGCCTTTGCTGTGGAAAGAACTAAGTGTTTCCCTCCCATCCTTAAGCAAAAACCGAGCTGATTTCTAACCTAGGCACCAAATCTTCATGATTTAGAACTATTTTTATTAAGCCTTGAAGATGAGAGAAAATTAGGAAAGCAGATAAGAAAAAATATGAATTATTTCCAACTGAATCCCACCTCCCAAAGAACCCTGCTTTCTTTAGTTAGCTACAGGAATACTTTGTCCATTTGCTGCCTTCTGCATTGATCAGTTAGCAGATTCCAGTTGGTGTAGACTACAATACTATGGACTAGGCTGGGAATAAGAGACGTGTCAGTGACTGATGTTTTTTTTCCTATTTGGAGGATAAATAAAGTAGAGCATGTGCGTCTAGAGCTTTGTGGGAGGAAAACTGGCTGTTTTTGGGTGGGATCCAAAAGGTTGCAGCTTGTAGTCAGCTGGTGACACTCCTGGGAAATACATTCACAAGCATGTGAGAACCTCAAGTAACTATTCCACATGTGCATACATCATCCTCCCGCCCTGAACCTTGTGGGCCTTGGCTGGAACCGGCAATGTGAGCTAATGCCTTTGGCAATCCCTGACCCTATCTGCTCTCACAAGTCAAACAGTGTCATGGTGAGTCAATGGAGTGCTTTTCCTGTTGAATCAATGCCCAAATGTGGTGCAAGGGGGTGTTGTCTTGCAGCAGAGATTATCTTTCAGCCAAGGCTGAAAAAACCCCAACAAATTTAGAAGCTAGTCACCAAACAGTTGCACTTCTTGTTAAGGGCTGGTTTATTAAGATGCCCTAACTTGCTCTGCCATTTCAATTAGGTGCAGAGCTGTGTCCCATCCTTCACTCTAATTTATGTAGCATTTTTCCACACTGTTAAACAAGTGCTAGTTCTACCCAAAGGTGGAAGTTGTCCCTGGGTGTCCCTTACCTGCCTCTCAGAAGAGCTGTGATGCTTAATTAGCACATGTTCATCAAGCCTTTTGGGAAGGCCAGGATTACCTAGGCACATCAGCACCATCCCCTTCGGGCTGCCAGGGCAATGTAGGGCAGCCCTGTCTCAAACAATGGGCTTTCTCCTGAGACTAGACCCAGCTGCAGCCTGGTGCCTCTCAGCCTGGGACCCCGCCTAGGTGAGAGGGTTGGCAGAGAAGCCGTTAGCCCTGGATGGCTGTGGGGTGTCAAGAGAATAAGCCCCCAGTCTCTGGCTCTCCAGCCCCCCCTTTCCCTTCCCCCTCATAGTGCTCCCCTTTCACCCCTTCCTCTCCCTTCTTCCCACCCCATTTTTCTCCCAGTCGCCCCTCCCCCGCCCCTTTCTCCCTCAGCCACCAGCCCCTTCTCCAACACTCCCCTCCCCCTCCCCTTCGCCGCAGTGGCGCTAGCATTACGCATGCGCGGCGACAGCAGTTCTTCCCTCCTCCCCCAGCGGAACAGGGGGGAAGGGCATTCGCTCCGCCCTAGAGGAGCGAGCCCGGCTCGAAGCCGGCCTGACACCGCCCCCCCCATTGGCTGGAGCTGCATGGAGTCAGCGCGAAGCGGAAGGGAGCGAAGGGAGGTGGGAGAGAGTGGCAGCCCCCGCAGCGCACCCCGATTGGCCGCCGAGCCACGAGGGGGAGGGTCCGCTGCCCCCGATTGGTGGAGATGCGGCGGGGGGGGGGAAAAAAAGGAGGGG